CAAAAATCTGCACGATATTAGCAGAGATCAGGAGGCAATTGAGGGTAAGGTTATTCGTGGCTTCTTCATTGTGAACGAATTCAATAGCATATCTCCGCGCCCTGGGGGGCCGGCCCTGCTGTGTGCTTTTTCCCTGATCGCTAACAGCACTCCCGCCTTACACTTGCCTCGAACAAAGGTGCAAGCCAACAATCGTGAGATATGATATCTGCTAGACGTACATGAGCGGTTCAAATCAAGGCACCGCCATTCAAGCAGATAAGAGCAGTACGTGAAACATCCCAGTCATCTCCTGTCACTTCTAGAATTAGAACGGCTGCAACGGCCACCCATTCGACTCTGTCCTTTCTAAAAAAAGCCCTCCTAACAAGTCTCTTTCCGCAATTTCGAAAGTATTGCATTGTTTTCGCATTCCAGAAAAATTCCCGACCATAACTCCTCTGCGTCAAACGTTCCAGTGCAAAATTAAACTATACGGGACGAACTCTCGAACCCTGCATAGCAGGCGGGCTCACCTGACTACATGTGGTGCGCCTGCTATGTACGTATCGCACTGAAGAGCTTTCGGCAGTCCTCCATCACGTTGACTGCGACCCAGTGGCAACTCCACTTTTGCGTCCTGGAAGGTATCAAATTGGAATTGCAGGAATTCTGCTGGTTTCGCAGTCAACTCACACTAGCGAAGCTAACAGCCCCAACTCGGATTCGACCCGAAGCAAACTCGCTGACGGGAAACAGTTCCAGTGAGCGGACCGCTAACTGCAAGGAAATGACTTTAACAACCTACGGAAGTGAATCGGCAAAATTTCAAAAGCGGAAGGGTTTGGCTCCTGCAACAAAGGCTTAGAGCTGGTCAATTCTACATGTTCAAAAGGCACTCGATTTTAAAAAGTCTATAGAGTTGCTTTCTGAGAGGCATGCATTCTACTGTAGAGCTTAGGCTTGTGAAGATCTAACTGAACTGAATTGTACTGAACTTTAAACTGGGAGTTTTCTTGTGAGTTTCTCCAGTAGCGATAAATTCAGAATGTAAATGAAGGACTTGGAAGTTGAGGTTCTTTTCAAACTGACCTCGATTTCTTTGTCAAAATCGCCTTCCACACTCTCTGAACGGTCGACGATTAGAACAAGGTCAACTTCACATGACGACGACCCCTAAATGAGTTGAGCCTTCCTTGATAATTTTGATTTGAATGCAGTAACATCTAATATTTTTTTCGTCCACAGTGATTTGAAATATTGTAGAGAACTATCAAAAACACTACAGAAATGTACAGGAAGCAAAAATTCACTATTTTTAGACAAAAGAATGAGTATGCTATTGGAACTAATGGTGAGAGCAATGACGCGCATTGCACCTGCATTGCTGAAGGGCCAAATCTCGTGTCCCTGCTCTGGCCAACCGAGCTTTCCGTCACCCCGCTCGGCTAGTTATCAAGACTCTATCGGAAGGATAAGAATACAGACTTGTCATTGACTGACCTCCGCATGTAGTTCTATTTATTAAATTGTATTCAAAATGCCCTCATGACTGTGTATGGAGGTAGAATGCGTGGCGCACCCCAAAAAGGTACTGGTCACCGTCAAGTGCTCGATTTTCAATCCTTGTAGAGGACAATAGTGTACAGCACAGAAGTAAACAGCGCATGCTTTTGCCCGAATCCACTGAGCTGAGAGTTGGTATGCTAAGGTCCTGGGCGTCGCTGTATGTTTCCTGAAGGCAAAACTCCCAATGAACGTCCTCGTAGGCCCCTTCAGGTAGATATGAGCATTTTCAATTGATTTCATAAATGTGCAGCCGTTTTCACTTTAGACGCTAAGGCCGTCAGGAGGTCGGGTTCCCATTCTACATCCACTGTTGCGACCAGCCTGTTCATACCAATCGTTTGAAGGGCAGGAGACAACAATTGGTGGGAAACGGGTTGGCGTCCCTCCAAATCTAGCCCCTGACTCGCCCAATATCTGCAGCGAAAACGACTGTATGTGGACGACATTATGTCATTTATCGTATGCAGAAAGCAAGTTTGAATATGAAATGAACATAGCCTTTCTATGTCTTACCAGACTGATATCCCTGAGTCTTGCCCTGATCCTCTCAGCAAAACCACCCGAGTTCGGTGTCTCTTTCGCCTCATCAGTAAAAAACCTGCCATTGCCTTCATCTTCACCGCTGTTCTCGGCGTCTGCAGGTTCACCTGAAAGCTTATCGATTCTTCTTTGAGACGTCAATTACTCTATGCTATGTTTTGCCCTACATCTTGCCACTCACGAAGGCCTTTTCTAGAGTTAGATGGGCCTGTGTGCAGAGGCAGAGCCTCGATCAGCTGAATGTGCATTTGAAGTCAGTACCCGTGCTCGATCAACTCGTAGACGCCCTTCCTTCCACAAGGAGTCTGGCCCTTAGTCTGTGAACTTGTCCTACTTTCGCGGCTTCACAGGAAGTAACGGAGGAGCTGTGGCGCTCACAAGTGGCAGTTCTGACGCTTCCCTAGTTGTCCTGCCCACCGAACCTCAAGGGCTGTTTTCTTGCACAAGCTTCACAAGTTCAGTTGTACACCACATTTTGCGTTTTTTTCCGCTGTTAGATGGTATTTGCACTTGGATGATACGAAGAAATGAGTGGTGAGCCACAGGCGGTAGGATTTCGTTTTGCTGGCACGAAACGAGCAGGACATGAGAACTTGTGCAATGAGGCTGTCAGGGGTCCTCGAGGTGTTATCCATGTTTTTTTTTTGCTTTTTTCTTCCCTGGATAATTACTTATGGCTTGTAAATGAGCGCCACAATCCACCATATAAATCGCGGGTTCTGTCTTGAAAGGAAAGTCCGCAATCACAGATGGTATAGAATGGAGCTTAGATACGTTCAACAAGGTACCAAATAAGTGAGTAAAGACGAAAACAGCATAAAAACCGTCCAGAAAGCCCCTAAATAGGACCCCTGTCGACGCCGGCTTGTACGTGCACACATTTAACAGAAGGTGTGTGTGAGTGTGCACGAAAATTTCACTTGTTGTTGTCATAACTATGTCAACACTTTTCCGTTATCCCTTCACTCTCACCATTCAGAATGGTAAGAGTTAGCAGAGGGGCTACTAGCTAGTAAATGGTAGTCTCTGGGGTGGACATGGGACTAAGGGGTCCTCAAGGCCTGAATATTTTGCTTACGGGAGAATTCTTGCGAATTTCCCTTTTTTTCGGGTCTGCTGTACCGTACATCCGCCCTGGTTGGGTGCATATAAGGACATTAGAGCGTACAGCCTTAAAATTTTATCGATTTTTTGAGTTTAAATTGAATTTTGAATTTTTATTGATTTTTTTGTGCCTTCAAAGAAAAAAAAAGAGTGGAGTACAATAGAACTTTTTTTGGACCAGCTGATCAATCTGCTGACAGTTCCCGTTAGCCCATCTAGCCATCCGTATTGGGTGGTCCCTTCACAGCCGGTTGTGCGGCTTGGAGAGCCTTTATGCACTTCCGTTAGCTCGTTTTGTTAGTTCCTTTTCATGGTTCATGGTAAGAATAAGGGGAGAGTCATCCAGCTCTATTGCATGAAGTAGGCTCGAACTTTTTTGACGGGGTGTGCTGCACCAGCACGTTGAAGACGGACTGTGCCGATGGATTTTGCCCTCTGCTTGACGATTCGCTTCATCTCGTAGCTGCCTTGCGTACGGATTGACCGAGGAGGCAGCTTCTTCATCCAGTAGTTCCTCGACCCACCGCTATCTAGAGCTGAGTTTACAGGTACTCCCGAACCTCACTTCGTCATTCGAACCGTAGGCTCCCGCTCTGAAGAGCTAGCGTCGTGGAAGATTGTCTGATGACTGTAGACATTGTCCTTGTGCTCCATTATTTCGGCGTCGACAGCTGCCATGCTGGCGCCAGGGTGGTAGAAGAAATAGTTTAAGGAAGCGCTTGAAGGGGTCGGTGCTGAAGGTAGCGGATAACATTCTTGTCCATAATGCAGAATAAGGATGAGCAGGAGCCGAGCCAGTGACACTAATAGAAAGATCAATCCTTAATGTATATATGCTCACATTACGCGGTGCGACCCTCTTATCGTAATAGGCGAATACTTTTGGGGTCAAAAAAAGTATGACAGAACTTCGCCAACCTAATACATGAACTCTCACATTCCGCCAGTTCCCTGACGACCGGACCGAAGCCACAAAGATTCAATGAAAGCACATTCAAGTTAGTAGGATTTTTTCTACCCACGATGGCTCTGTTTTCATGAAGTGAGGATATGGATGGTTTAAAAAGCCTTATTGTGAGCCCACCTGTTGTCGTCGATTCATTTTCAGTTGGACTCTCTTCAGTAGTCGAGAGAGCGTTTTCTACGGCATCAGACGAGGGTTTCTCGGCTGGTGACGTTGAAGAAGTATCCACGACGGCAGCTCCCTCGGTAGTGGACACCACAGCATCCGCTAAGATATTTTTTCCATTTGCTGATGTCACCTCTTCTCTTCGAGGAGTCTTCCGGAACTTTCGGCTATCTTATCTGCCCAGTGGGCTTTCTTCAGTCGTAGAGAAATCCTGAAATGCATTGAATTGAAGCTACCACGAGATTGAAGTGACTTCTAATGCCGCCAGTGAAATAGCTGATCTAAAGCAAGCAGGAATATGCAAGCCATGAGCTAAACTAGCTGATGTGCTGCACTGAGAAACTCATGCAGCACATGTGCTAGCAAAGGAAGATTCTAAAAAAAAAGGCGATGGAAAAATGACTCAGCCAGAAAGAGTTCTTTTCGCAGAAAACACAGTTTGAGTAAGGGCTGCGTCGCCTTTAGGGATGCAATCCTTCATGTATGATGAGATGTGACAAGAACCTGAACAGAGACCACAGTGCGGCGTTTTTAGTAGTGCTAAAATTTTGCATTACTCCGATTTATCATTGAAATTCTACGGTGTAAGAAAAGGAATTTGTTTTTTTCGTAACTGGTGATAAAATTCAATTGACAACGAAATATACTTTAAAGTTGATTTTTGTATGTTTTCTACTGATCACTGTTTTCTGTGAAGAGCTGCAATACTCGTGGACATTTCCTGGACGCACCTTTTGTACTTCTCTCCGACGAATACACGGCTTTTATCTCCTACATAAATCAACAATTCAGCCTCATTATAGTCTTGACTGGCTGACACGGCGTCTTGCGAACAACTCAGCTCTTGTTTCCTGAAAGGAGACAGCCTGAATTTTTTCTAATACTGTGGGGTAGAAGTGCAGCGGCACTTGGAGTAGCGATGACACGCCTAACCCGAGAATTTTGGCTCTGATCCACTGTTAGTGAAGCTAGTCTTTTACCCTTTGCAGCTTATCCCGTGCTACATATTGCAGTCTTTCGAGGGAAACATCTTAGTCTGTAAGCCTGCAGAATGGGTCGAATGGGGCACTCAAAACTGCTGCGAACTGACTGAAGCACCCTGAACAGGGATGGGTTACTTTCAGGCGCACTCTTGTTTCTCACAAAAATGCTACAATTTTAGTAGCTCCCAGTGTTCCAAGAGATTATTTCCCGATCAGAAAAAAGGTAATACAAGGACGAAGTCCTCACCAATGATCAAGCCCTTTGTGGGATACGGCGCGCATTTTACTTCCATTCAGAATCGTAGTGGCTTCTTGAATGCGATGTGGCCTCTACAATGACTTGCGGGGCCAGCCCATGTACAATTCAGTGTTCTTATCCCCTCAGACCAATCTGGTGCCACTCTTCCGTCCCGGGGGAGGGGAAGTAGAGGGCCTGTTGGCATGGGTGGAGGCGATCCGGGATTTGAACGCAGAACCGCACGAGTGGTAGGGGCGCCACTTTTTAACTGTACGCTTTTTCTGGCGGATCCTCCGCCAAAAAAAGCGTACGGAAAAAAATGATCTTTGTTGGTGCGAAAAGATTGTCGAATTGTGGGAAGAATGTCTGCTATACCTGTAAACGTTTTCCTGTGGCTTGTACAACATTCCAGTATTCTTGACCATGGCCGTCGGAAATCAACACGAAAACCTGCAAACCAAAATCATATCCAAGCTCCAGGTTACCTCACATCAAGGATCCTAACAATTCAGAAATAATATGCATAGATGAGATTTTCAAAAATGTGACATAAGCTTCGCTAGAAGTTTTTCAATGAATTTTGGCGGAGTTCATCTTGGTGAGGCACCAAAATGGTATTGGTACTCAGCATTAGGACCCCACCTTGTGAGGACCTGTAAATTATGCAATCAAAAGTGACATCATTGGTTCTTTTGGCCAGCTTCACAGAGTTTACAGGTTCCACCGAAATACTACTTGTCAGTTGACATGAATCGGCAAAAGGAACTAGCGAATATGCAAAATGCCCCTCCCAAGCCAAAGAACGAATTTTTTGCCCCAGAAAAGAGACTCATAGGAACGATAGGATCCATGCACCTTTTTCAAATCATACCTGTCTAGCATCTGGTCGTTTAGCACGTTCCATCTCGTCAAGGGCTATTTCGACAGCGCTGGCAATTCTCGTATTCTGTCCGGTGAATTTCACTTCTTTCACAGCATCCTTGATCTCCGACAGAGCTCTTCCTTTCAGAAATGGCAGAATCACGTCAGCGCCAGCAGCAAATCGAGTCACTGACACCTGAATATTCCACTGCTTGTTTGACTGACTCTTTATCCATTTCATAACTGTAACTGGATAAACCGCAGGACTGTAGGCATACCTGTACAGCGTCCGAGTATGCGCCCATAGGTATCTCGTCCAGAATGTTCAAAGCGATTTCACGTTGATCTTCGAACACTCTGAAGACTGAGCCGGAAGTATCAAGTACGAGCGTGAGATCAACCTGCAAAGGTGATTCAGACCTTCGGACGGGTATTCAGAAAAATAGGCAGTAACGAGGAGAAAGCTTAAACTCTTGTCAAGATCTCGTAAACCTCCAACAAAGGGAGTCGGAGTTTTCTGATTACAATACTGTGGATGGGCGTTTTCACGCACCTTGAAAAAAAGCAATTTTAAGCTTGCGTTATTAGTACATATTTTGTTGGCAATTCGTTAGCATTTTAGCTACAACGCTTCTGCTCGAGTGCAGAATGCACAAGAGAAATTCTAAAACACTTGCAAAGGATGAATATGGGTAGAGGACGAAAAGTTGAGGGGAAGAAAGGAACATGTTCTGTAGTCGAATGTCTATGTTGTGACCATAGACGACGAGCTCAGACCACCGTAACTTTGCCTGCACTCCTTATCCTTTCTTCTACTGTTGTTCGGCTTAGGGGGACCACTAGTTCCTATCGATATGAGGAGATGTGAAGCGTGCAATGCTAGTGAAGCTAAAAAACGGTACATAATGAAGTTCCTACCACTTCGCAAGGTTATAGAGGTTCACGGGTGTCATCAAAGTTCAGCGAAGTTTTCCCTCGCTCGCAACTTTACAAGAGTGGCTTTTTGGAGGGGGCATTTTGTAGGTTCGCTGGTTTCTTCAGATTCCACATCAAGGTGAAAGATCTGAAGGAACTTGCGGACTGTTAAAGTGCCCCTTACTATAAGCCGCTCTTTACTCAGCCTTTTTCGGAGCTGATGCAGGAGCTCACCTTTTCGAAGCCGCATTTTTGCCCGGCGATGAAAAGGTTCTTCTGCTCTTTGGCACGAGTAGCCCTCACTCCATGTATCCGGCGATTTTTCGACGTTGGGGTCACCACTGATGATGTCGGCTCGCACACTCCGAGTGCCTAGAATTGACTCACTGTAACATATTTATTTCAGTGGACCCTCTTTCAAGCTTTCTAAACATCTCTCCTTCATGATAACGTGGTATGAAGGGGAGAATACAAAGAAAAACGTTAGAGGCGCTCTCTAACTTCGTGTTACCTCATCCATGGCTTCCTGGAAATTGCTTCGATCAGCTGCTGCAACGAACAGGCGATCTCTAGCTCCAGCGTAACCCAGCAAAGCAAATGCATTCGGTCTTGAGCTGCCTGTCACTGCGAATATAACAGCGCCGAGTTTCTCCACATTTGATCTGCAAAGGTACTCTAAACTTATGCCTTCGTTCATTTGCAGATCCAATTTTGCAATCCACTTCGAGATAGACGCAAAAGTTCAGTAATTACTCGGTCCGTCACCACAGATCAAGGGTCCGTGACCAGATGGCATCTGTTTTTCACCCGACTTCAGGTGCAGTATGAGATCCAGAAGAGAAGGGGTGCAGTGGGAACGATTCCACCTGCTACACGCCAAGGGCCAAACCCCAGATTGGCTTCCGCCCAGGTCAATCAACCCTTCTACCCCCCCCTCCTCCTCCTCCCTTCCCGGGACGAAAAATTGGTTGTGGATTTGTCCAGGAGGATAAAAACAGCGATTTGTCCATTGGCTAGCCCCACAGCTCATTGTGAAGGCCACATCGTATTCAATGGACCACAATTCTGAACGGGCTAGAATGCGTGCGAAGTCGAATCCTAAGAGTGTCGATCGCAATGTCGAAAGCTTTCCTCCCGATTTTCGATTTCTGAAGACCTGAATTGCAAAGAGGTTTCTTGAACACAAAAGCTCACACAGCTTCCAATGTCTCGGCCACAAGATCCGTGTTCACTCCATCATGCGCTAGAATGATAATCTTCCGTCGTTCGCCTTCCTGTTCGAGATTCGAAGAACAGCGACAACGCCTCGTCCAGCGCCCTTGCAACAGACGTTGAGGCAGACTGACGTGGTCGAAGAGCGGAGATCAGATCGGACACCTGTAATAGATAGCTCTGGAAAATTTCCTCTATTATCAATTGACAGAGTGTTCTGTTGAAGCTTTACAAAAAAACTTTTTGGGAACAGGAGAAATTTTCGTTCCGATGGAGAGCTCATTGAAAGAACAATGCTGCACCTTAAACTCATCAATCGCATCCTTCCATTCCTGTCTTGCAATGTGGGGGTGAAGCACTTCCCAAACTACTCTCCCGTCTGTTCCAAAGTGCACAAGAATGGGGTTGGAGCATAGTATGTTCGGGTGTTGTTTTGGGACATTTAGCGTTGACGCAAGTGCGGCACCTGGAGGACGAGGTTGTGTTCATACTTCGCGACAGATTCCAACAGCGACCATAGCGTTCCGAGCGTCCAGCAGCGTCAGCTATTAAGAAGAATCTACTTCTAAAACAGCCAGCGATCTACGCAGCGTCTAGCAGAGCATCGCCGTCTACGGAGGCGAAGAGTATGGCGGCCCCATACTCCTACCGCAATGCGCCACCTCCTTTCTCCCTCATACTCTACCAACATTCGCGACCCTCTCTCTATGGCCTTGGAGCTCTGCACTTCCCAGGACGCCTGCTGGCCGTTGTGGACGTTGGTAGGCGGCTGTGCCACGCTAGCTGGACCTTTTCTTCCTTAGTTGCTGCTGGACGCTTCGGAACGCAGTGCGCTGGTGGAATCGCTGCACGCAAAAGTATGAACGCAGCTCAACGCGGGCTGAGTCCAACAGAATCCGTGTACCACTATTCTTCAGGCTCATTTGCGCGCTCTCCCAGATGACGAAGGTGCTACTTCTGTATAAGCTGTCAAACTACCATTCTTTCTCGCGCATGACAAGGGCCGTCCCATGAGCTTGCAGTTTGTCGTGCAGGTCATACCAAGGCTCTTGATAATTTTTTATCTGACTGACGCTTTCCCCTCAGTTTGAAAGAACTGAACACCAATAAACAGGGTACAGCATCGTGATGTGCGAAATGGTGGTGCCAGATGACCTCCACGAACCCGACCCGATCCCTTTGCACAACAACCACCTACCGATTCCCCGACCTTTCCAGTCTATTTTTCCACTCAAAAATCTCAATATTTTCGCGACGACCGGGTAGGAGGGGGGTAATATGTATGATGCCATGAAACTGGAAAAATAAAAACACCGCGATTTCAACAGTTCCGTTGACAATTTTTTCCCAAACGGCAAATTTCTGCTCAGAGGCGACTACGACCACACACGCAGTGAATACACCTCTCCAATCCCCAGCGAAAAGTACGAACACCTATGTGTTTCAACACTAACCGATGTTGCACCCTGCCAATAACTTGGACTATTCTCGCAATGGCTCACATCAGAAGCACTCGTAATGTATGATCTTGTTAACTGCCGATTAAGGGGATTGACATGAGGAAAATTTGGAACACGCGCTACAACAGTGAACCTGCTAAAATGTATGTAACGGTTCCACATCCCTATAGTGAGAAGTAGCCGCACTATGTAAGAGGACAAAGGAATTCTGAGGAAAAACGACTACAGTTATGTGGAATTCCATTTGTAGGCATTTCTGGCATCTCTTACACCCTGATCGTGAGTGAACAAGATGTTCATCTCTGTACCGCGAATGGCTCAAACATGGACCGCGGTCGACTTTCTCGTAGTTTAGCAGTTTCTCCGCAGTTCTCGTAGTAGGGTTGATTGGTGGAGCTATAGATGGAAGCAAATGTGTTCTTCATTAAGCCTTCCCAGGGAGTTTAACTTTTTACTCGCCTCCAGTTTGCGCCAATCTCCATTCTTTCTTCCAAGGCCGGAATGCACATAAACAAATTCACACAAAGCACTCAATAGAATCCGTGAAGAAAGCTGACTTGGACTAGCGATCAAAACGGCCTTGTACCGAACCGCTGCACATTCACAAACAATGTACAGCGGAAAATAACGCTTGGAACGAGGCTTGAGAGGAGGCTTTCAATTGTCTGAGCTGCTTGTTGTCTTCTTAAAACAGTCAGTTATAGGACTGAAACTAACCGATATAGAGTTGATGGCGGAATAATATCAAAAATGTCCTTGCCGCGAGGTAGTGCTGTGGCAAGTGGCGCTATTTCATACAAGCGTGGCCTGGAGTTCAAATCCCGGGGGTCGACTCCCTCTCGAACCAACCGAGCTTTCTATGCCTACAAGAAATGCTAACACTAGGCTCCTCTAAGAGAATAAAAGCGTCGATTTCTAGATGGAGCCCTCCTCCACTCCCCTCCCCCACCGCCCCGCTGCAATGCATAGGCCATCTCACTTTGAAAAGCCACACTTTTCTTAGGGGAAGTGCAATCATGCAATGACCTGAAAAGTGATTCATAGAAGTAGAAGCTCACCCTCTGAGTTTTTCCCGCCATACTGGCTTCTACCCCCGTTTATCACTGAACCTGCAGAGTGTTGGCAGTGTTCTTACCGGCATAAGCGCTGACCGTCGTTGTTGTCGCCTGTTTAGTTCGCACTTGGCCCATACAGAAAACGAATCCACCACCTGTCTAGCGTTTGCTTCCTTCTTCTTCTAGTTTTTTTTGCAACCCTCAAGAACCCTCAGTTCTTTCCAAAGCATTAGAGACGTCGAAAATGGATCCAACATCAAAGTGGAAGCGGTGGCATACTCTCGGCAACGAATTTGATGAACCACGCATTTTTGTGATAGCTTTGTTGGGTGCACTTCATTTGAGCAAATAAATTCTCATGCACAGTGGAAACACTGTAGATAAAACGATTTAAAAGCGCGCGGCTCCAGCTTGTCCCAAGGCTTTTTTTTCGCGGTTGTATCTGAGCGCGGAAAGGAGCGCCTCGCGACGCTTGCGCATTCACGTCTCCGACTCTTTTCGCAGTTCGAAAGTCTCCGCTTCTTTTCAACCTGAAGCTTCGCATCGCTACTCCCTTTTCGCGCCGTCAGGTGTTGAATTACTTAAATACTTCAGCCACTAACACTCAAATGACACAAGAGCGATCATTCAGTGAGCTAGAATAAAGTGAAATTAAATGCAACTGCTACAAATTTAGTGTTTAGTAGATGTGCAAATAGTGGGAAATAATAAAAAAACGAAGTGAAAGGGTTGAATACCTGCAAAAGCCTTGTTCTACAAGGTTCAACAATTTCGCACAAGTTTCCCGCTGGCTGGAAAAGTGAATAACCGTTACAGGTAGATGCATGTATGACTTATATAATCATGCAGCCGCTTCATGCCAATCCCTTAGCTTCACATTGTGCTTCGCAAATGGAAGCAACATAAGCATAGGTATTAGTCGGACATTTGTGCGAGGCAGGCGCGGTGGGCGTCCCGGTCCGCATATTGCACCTTAGTAGGGTGCTATAAGGGTGCGTTCCTTGGATGGGTCGTCCCATCGTCAGAAGCTATGCTCAGGAGCGGCCAGGAATTGTTGTCCCGACCTTTATTTATCTTACACCTCTTGGAGATTTATCGTGTCACTTGCCTTCAATTTTTGAGTGGAACGAGCGCTATCACTTGTACCTTCAAGGAGACAGTTAAACTAGATAGTACTTTTCACTGTAGACGCTTGGAGGTGTCGTTTAGCCCAATAAGGATGAGCAGTGGAGCCGAAGCGCAGTGACACTAATAGAAATCATCTTGATGTTAAATGCGTCCATACCTGTTAGCGCCTCTCCAGGTAGGAGGCGAATAGTTGGGTTCAAAAGTTATAACAGAGGCTTTCCCCCCGGGCAACACTAATAGCATTGCTCTATAGATATAGTTCCTGCTCCATAGTAGCCTTCCTACGTTTCTTGTTTTTTATCTTTATTCCATTTGTAAATGGATAATCGCGTTGGCCAGTAAGTTTTGAAAACAATTTTGCATACTTTTTCTCTGGCTCTTGAATTACAGAAATGAAGTTCACCCAACTTTAATGTTATACGTGATCAAAGGAGATGCGGTTTATGACAGGCTTGAAGTCTGGTTCAAAGCAATCATGAGGAATGGGGTTTTCGGTACCTTACATGTGCAACGCATGGGGGGTGGGCCTCCTGGGGAGCGAAGCTAGTCCACTGAATTTCGAAAGTCTAACATCAACTGAGGGTGGTTTTTGATGATGATAAGGAAGCATTCCATGACCTCAAACAATTTCCCATCCCTCCACGAAAACTAAAAAGACTGTCATGTAGGGCAAGGAATTCTCTACAAAACAGGATGAAACGCTATGGCAAAAGTTTTCATCTTCAGCGCGATATTTCGAGTGAGAAAAAACGCCATTACTTATGGGCCGACCCAATACTTTCCGTCGACGTGTCGGCCCATCTAGAAAGCGTTTCTTGAGTTGACAGGTTCTACCATGGTGGCTCGACGAGCTTGCTCCAGCTTCACAAGAGTTCACAGGTTTCACCAGAGTGAGACTTGTAAACCGGAACTAGTGAAGCAGCGAAAGTGCGAAACGCCCCCCCCCCCGTCGCCAACTGCGCCCGTTTGCCGAACAAGATTATTATACCATATTGGTTACGGCTACAGCAGCGCCCTAGAGAAGTTCTAAAGACTACTCGACCTAATAGAAGGACCTAACGCACCTGAGTGAGAGTCACACCACTAAGTTCTGATATCAATATTTCCAGTGTGAAGTGTCTCTCAAGGAATAAAAAATCTTCACAGAAAAAGCAAAGGTTGTGAGCCGTTAATTTCCGTCCTCCGCGTGTAATAGTTTGCCTTAGTTGTTATTGAGAAAAAAGTGTTTCCAATTGTGATGGTTCATTTGTTATTCTCAAAGTATTTTCAATGCATGACTCACCCTTTGAGTATCGTTGGCGAACGGTGATTCGAGTTCAAGCATCAGTTCGGGTGTGCGATGAAATCCGATCACTCCATAGCGAACCGATCGACCTTTGAGAACCGTTGAGAGACGTCTTAAAAAAACAAAATGAATCAATAGCTCCTCATGACTTGAGATTTCAATCGTTTATCGACTCGTTTACCAGCAGCATCATTTTCTACAGATATATTAGTGCGAAGCGCTTTTTCACAAGACTCCACCCTTCTCTTTTCCTCTTTTCCTTTCCAGTTCGCGCGCCCATTGAATAGATGATATAGATAACTTTCTTTGATAAATAACTGTTAGGATCTGAGCTGAACCAACTGGCGAAGGCATCTTCGAACAGCCTTCAACATCTAGATTTCTAAGAACAATA